AGGTGGCAGAGATAGTGGGTGAAACTGGTAGGTTTTTTGCCTGTTTGGGGAGTTTATATCCAGTGTACCTCGTTTAAACATTGAATGGACAGCTTGCAGGCATAGACAGTATATATAGCTAGCATGGAATGTTTTTTGCTTTGTATGTCGGGGGCGGGAGATTCATGTGATTGGTTGTTGACAGTCGTGTTGCTCGCGTTGACTTCCCAAGCTTCAGACACGCCCATCGCCAAGCGTCAACGCCATGGTCAACGCACGCTGCTGTGTGGACGCTCCGTCCGGCTCCGGCTGCCGCTGCACCTCAACATTGCTAACATTAGCGCTCGATTTCGAGGACGATGTATGACAAAAACAGCTGTCTAATTTCGTCAGTTTAGCTGTTATATCTCCTTGTTCTCTCTTGTCCTTTCTCTTTTGAGCGCCGCCCTTGTGCTTTGGTTTGGTGTACATTATAAATGCAAGCTATTACATTTTTATGCTGCCGAACTTGCTGCTGCTAGCTACAGTACAGTACAGCTGGATTAAACGGTTCGCTCGTCACGCAAGGTATCACATGACATGAAAGGGAGAAAGTTAATTGGACAGACAAATAACAAATTTGTTTTTGTTCTGTTTTTTTTTTGCATGGGCCCTTGGCCGGCTCTGGGCCCCGGGGGAATTGCACCGGTTGCACCGGCTGCATCGTCGATAGTAGTTACGCCACTCAGTTCACCTTATGAGCCAATAATAATAAACTAATAGGATATAAGATAAAGTAAAATGGTCAATAATAAGGAAAATAAAGCAAGAATAGAAAAATAATGTAATCATCAAAGCATCATTTTAACTATAGTATACAGTCTAAAGGTTTGTGTTTTGCAGTCCTTATTGTCAAGCCTCGAGGCTATATTTAGTTTACAGGTTTTTAATAAAAACTGATTTAACCATTAACCAGTTATTTCAAGCCTTTGTTGTTCATGTGCTGTATACTTATCACCGAAATATTTTATAAAACGTTCTCAAAATTAAATGAAAAAACATTGTTGATGCTTGTTGTTTACAAAGCATGGGGATTTTCAAAGGTTTGACAACAGGACGATCTTTTAGTTCCACTGTTAATGATTCCATGTTTAAAAACATCTCAAGGGTAGATTAAAGTAAAACAGTAGACGTTACGTGTCTATTAGTCTAAGTCATTGATATATTCAAATTCCTCAGGACACCCTAAGGACTTCTGGGAGTCCCCTAGGGAGACATAACTTGTATTGAGACTGGTGTAATGAATATAGAAATACCAAGCCTACTAGATCACTGTTTGTCTTGAGGGGGAAATAGACTGCTATTTCCCAAGAAACCCCCTGAGTGTTCACACATTGTTGAATTAATTCTCTTCCAGGAGCAGCTCCATGATTGACAACAATAGCTACTATAATCACATCTTAACTGGATGTTACCCAAAGTGTGAAAAGCAGAGGGTCTATGACCTCTTTGTGAGAAATAACATCATCATGTTTTCTGACACTTAACCTGTTAAACCCTGAGCCTGTTTTTCAGGTTTCAAGCTCGAAAATGACATTCCCAGAACAAATGACCATATCTTCCCTTCTAAAAGGATTACATTAATAATCTTTTTTCTCAAAGTAATGATAAACCTGTCAGTTGGATGTAGAAGAGTCAGAATCAATATAGATGTTTTTTATTTTAAAGAAAATTCAGATTGAACATGGTAAAAAACTGTAAATTATAGTGTCCGTCCAAAAGATATTTTGTACTTATAGTGAAAACTAACCTTGGATGATGGGTTAGTAGACTAAAAGCTTTAGGAATCCAAAGTATAACATATAATAAGTACCCTGTATCAAGATTGATGCAAAACAAGTTATATTTGACCTTTTTAGAGAGATTTAGCAAAAACAAACCTCTTCTGGGGCCATTTGGGTGGATTTTCCATATCTCTGGCCCCCCTTGCTGACTTTTGACATGTGACATCTCTTTCTAACCGTCAGAGCCAATGGAATCGAGGGGAACTCCCACATAGTCCTTATTTGGTAATGTGTGTGTGTTAGACTGCCGCATAGCCAAGACCAGAAGCTGCGATACTCTGGTGGCTACCATTAGCAGCTAACTTTTGCTCTGCGATTTTTACATAAAAATGGAATTATGGATTATAAATGAAAAACATTATTACACAGACACATTATCAACCTATGGATTAACCGATCCAGCCACGTTTTTTCTCGTTTTAATGCCATTGAACATGTCTTTTGATCAGATTGACAGCTACGGTGAGACGATCTCCCTAAAAGCTCCGTAAAGGTAAGTGTTGTGATGTCTGTCTTTGCTTCGCAAATTCGGATCACTCAGTGATGATACTATATACCTACATAATCTGTGGAACCTCAGCTTTAATCGGATATATTGTATGTGCAGCTACAATAAGTAATAAGGGTATTTTTATCTTGAGTTCTGTGCATTTTTCGCTCAGGGGTCATTTAGATCTTATGAGACTTATGTTTCGTTTTGGTAAAAATGGTTTGTATCGTCAATTAGCTGAGATTATTTCCGTTAATCTGGTATAACACATTAATAGGTTCTTAAATATTAAGATCCCCTGAGACACAGTGTCGTGGAAAAAAAAAGTAAAGTACCCACGGGCGGGGACCTTGGGGCTTAACAGGTTAATAATGACATACACCAAATAGTAGAAGTAACAATGACAGAGTCCAGCAGCATTAAACAGGACAGTTATTTAAAAAAAACACTAGTGCCTCCTTGTAGGACCATTAAAATGAAAAGGACATTTTGTGAGTTATTTTTGTACTCAGGCAGAGAACTTGATAAATGAAATCCTGCACCAAGACAATACCTCTATTTTCTTTGCGGTCAAACATCCCCTTGAGCATTCATTGTTCCTGAGCGCTCTTTCCCCTACTTTCTGACTGCTGTTACAGCACAACTACATCATAAGTGTGACTGTGTATCTGTGTGTTGGGTGTGGGGAGTGTATAGGAAATGCTTTTGCCTCTCAGAAGCTGTATGTCTAAATTTAGAGGCCCGTGCCGCCACTGTCCAACTGTCAGACGCTGCGTCGGACTGTCGGCCGCTCAGGAAAGAGACTGGAGGCGTGTTGAAGTTAGGATAAATTGAACTAACTGGGGTGGGCTGATCTGAGAATAACACATTTGTTCTGCACACGCCCTGAAAACAGAGTGGCTATAAATACCCAGCTATACTGAAGAGAGAGGAAGGAAGTGTAAATAAAGTGTAAAAATGAGTTTTTTTACCAAATGGGCCGATTAGATGAGAGTGTGGAGTGTATTTAAACTTTAAACTTGACCACTTTTGACCAAACTTAATTAGTTTATTCAGAAAATATACTGAACTTACTTCATTTATGTATTTATTCATGCTGACATGAAATACACACATTATAGTCTTCACTGTGAAACGTCTGATGTGACAACCTTCCCTTGAGAAAATGACAAATTGTTGTTTTGATGTCATGCAGCAATCTCCCACATTACACACGCGCTCATTTATTTTTTAGAAACAATTCATGCCATGATTACATTTGACTTAAGTGCCAACACATTCACAATTTAAAGCATTACCATTTCCGACATGTTTTTTATACCCTGTCAGGCTTTTGACCTCTTTTCATCTGAAGAGTGCAGGAAGCAGCATTAGTGGCAGAGCATTCCCGTCCTGCCTGTCTATTTGATTATGAAAAGTGTCTGTTTGATTGTCTATTTGGAGAGCAGCACCTCCTTAATTGACTTAGTGCAGTGACAGACCCCCACTTGTTTTCTCTTAACATAATTCTTCTTTGTGACATCGTTTGTCAGATGTTTGCAGGAAGGTGCCAAAGTCAGTTTCCCTGTGAGTTTGATAATGAGCTTTGTCATGTGGTTGCGAACGAGATGGAGAGATGGAGCTGTTTACATACTGTCAGCCTATACACACAAAGGCTGTTAATCTACATGTGTGTTATTAAACTATTATTAAGTGCTTAAGTGCTCTGGCGGTGAAATAAACAGGCTAATCAGATTTTCTAAGTAAACGAGGTACTGTATATGAACTGTGTTTCAATAAAAGTACTTTTTTCTAACTTTTACTTCAGTAAAAGTAAGAATTACAATAGTATCAAAGGTAAAGTACTTATTCTGCACAATGTCCTGCTTTAATATAACAATATTATATTATTGGATTATAATTATTGAAACATTAATGTGTTCATCACTTTAACTACCCCTGAGAATCAATAAAGTCTTAATGATGTAATATTATAATTGATTTTTTGATAATATGTTGTACCACTTATCTAAAACAGGAATTTGACTTAAGTTATCAGATAAATGTAGTGAAGTTAAATATTTGGTTCTGAATTGTATTAGAGTTGAAGCATTAAGTAGCAGTACAGTAAGTAAGTACAGATGTTATTATATGTTAATTTCCCCCACTGCTAAATAGAAACCTGACACTGAAGAGAGCAGGAATGTGGTTGTAGATCATTGACACCTGCAGAATTCCAATAGCAGTCTTATATTTAAAGAACAAAACATCAAGCCTCAGACTTACTGTAACAACACCTTTTCTAGACCCCGTGTTGGAAATGCATTTACACTTTAGGGGTGCAGAATTACAATCCATACATTTCCCACCTCCCTTCACATAATGGTGTATATTATACACCAACTTTCAAAGAGCACAAGTACAAGATGCAAATCAAATGTGGTCAAATATTTTTGAAAGATTGTATGAAAGCAAAACATTTAATATGGTGGAGATTGAGATTAAAATTAATAAAAAAACTGACAATTCAACTGATGAACAGGCATTCATTTTAAACCCAAAATCATCAATATGATCACATATTCCTACATTTATTTGGCCTGTAGCCTATAGCTTATTTATGTCTATGTGTGTCTATTAGTGACATTTGTGTACCCTTTTTGTATGAATTCTCAGTAAACTATGTCACACTGGTGAATTATTTATCCTCTTGCGCCCTCTAACGACAGACGTCAGCAGCACCAACCTCTGCTGAGGTCAGAGGTCACACAACAGAAAACATGGCGGCTTCCAGTAAAGTGACCGTGGTGTTGAAAGCTGTGAAGAACATAACAGCCCAGTTTTGTCCATTTGAATCAAATGTCGGGTCAACACGGTAAGAGTTGTTTGTTAAATGTCTCGTTGTGTCGTAGGGTCTTTTTGTGTGACTCCACTGTGGTTTAAAGTCGTAATTTGACAATGAGGCGACTGTCTGTTCAGACAGCAGTCACCACCAGAAGATATGATTATAGTTTAGTCTTTAGGACGCATTTTATTTAGTTTAAAACGTGTTCTTGTCAAACAAGAATGCTTGAATGAGATTGTGTGGCGTGTGGGTGCAAAGTTAAATACGAACGACATAAGGATTTCCTAGTCTTCCTACTGCACGTTACCCTAGCTACAATTTCAAGTATTTACTTTTATAATAGTTCAGCTAAAACTGTTTTATACTTATCCGCCAAAACTAAATTACATAGTATGAGTCTAAATGCCTTTAATTTGTCAGTTAATCTGGTTGACTAGACATGTTTTTAGGACTGTGTGTGCGTGTATAGACGAAACGATGGTAGATTAATTGATTCGCATCTTCCTGAGTTTCCTATTGGATTTGTTTCCCATTTGAAGGCAGGACTAATTACACCTTTTGCATTTGTATTGGTAGAAATAGAGCTGAGCAGAGGTGTATTAATCCAGAATAACTGAAAGCACCTTTGCATGTGTTTAGAGGCAAATATGTTTTTTCAATTTATTCTGACTGATCAGACTTCCCATGATAACCTTTAGCTAAGCAATGTTTGAATTTTAGGAGATGACCAAACTTCACCAACCAATACAAATAATAAATGTGCACCCCTCCCACACAAGTGGTGCAAAAAATCAATAGGAGGGTCAGGTTGATGTCAGTCTGCACACTCCCACACAGGAAGAAATCAACACCAGCCAAATAGTGGTAAAAGAAAATGCAAATGGGAAAATGTTGGTTGAAAAATCTACTGAGTGGCTCATTACATTTGAAACATTCATTAGCAATGTGGCTGGTGCAAGGAACAAATATGTTCAGTTTCACCCTGCTCCAACAGGGTCATGAGATGGGGCCTATTCAAGCTAAATAAGTGACATCGTCTGTGACAGTTAGGGTGTGTGTAAGGCCATTATTCAGCAATGTTGGTATTGGTGAATGGTGTTTTACTCATACATGTAAGCCACATGTAATTAACAATTTTGTCTATAATCTTTAATGTGGTAGAGGACAAAACATTCAGAAATGTTGATTAAGTATGTGGCAATATTACATTGTAGAAAAAGGCACTTTGTGTTGAAGTGCAAAGTAGAACAAAATGGAAAGTTGGATACAAGAACTTTAAATTGTACATTATAAATGTATTAAGTACTTTCTATCACTACTGTATTATTGGATAATTAATCTGAGATATGCTGGTCTGTCCTGCAGGATGTTTCTGTCCGTGATGAGTTCACATAAGGTCCGAGCTACCAACTTGAACTGTGAGGTGATCTCCACAGTGAAGCATGACAGGTCTGAACCTGTAGTGGAAATCACTTACTGTGAGTATTACCTGCCTGCCTTCATGTGTGGGACAATATATGTAATGGTGTGGTTCTATGAAGCAGTGTTACTGTTGAGTTTTGCATTTGCCGTACATATTCCAGGCATTGTTTAATCCACGAAAGATGTGTAGCGACATATAGGCTGATTGTTTTACTTGCATTATGGAAATGATGGAGAAAAATTCAATGACATTTGTTTTAATTATAATATCCTCAGATTTGTTATTGGAAAAAAATCAGCGTTGTTTTGAATTGCATTTTCTCTTGAATCAGAAACACTGTATTTATCCCCATGGGGAAATTAGATTTACTAACAGTTGCTGCATTTTAGAATAAAATTAAATATATAAAAAATAACAAGAAGAATGAAAACATGCTCATATAACTACAACAACAATAGACATGTTTCTTATTAAATTATTTACTGTAGTTTCATAATATTTACAACAATAATTAAGGCATACAAATAGTTAATTACTCAAAATGTACAGTGTAATATAGTAATAATGTCATATACGTGTTGCACGGTTGAATACTTAATGTACTTTACTACTTCAAGTAGTTAGAAGACACTACAGAAACTGTAGGATTATTCTACATTAGAAGTTGACTTGAGGTAGTGCTTGAAGACAACATTTTTACTTGATTTGAAATTATAGTGGGTGGTTGGGCTCTTAGATAATATTTGAACTAGGTTATTGTGGAGAGGTGATCTTTAAATAAATGAACTTTACCCACTAAAAAAACACTGGTTTTTCAAATGTATTTAACTTGTATAAAGCTAGGAGAGTCCCATTGATATTAACAATCTCTTTTTCAAAGTAAATCTGAACATTTAAAGAGACATATTTGTTGTGGTCTCCTGGTGGATGTTTTTTAAAAGTCAGGGTGTATCGTCATTGTAACTACAGCTCAGCACATACAGCACAGCGCCTACAGCTAAGTGTGTGTTTTAGTCTTGGAATTTCCTGCTGATGTTGTTACTACATGATATTACTCACACACAATGAGTCAAGTACTTGTCAAAAGTCAAAATGTCTGCCATAGGTCAGCAGGACTGTGTGCGGATGTTGCCCATTGTGTGTTACTCGACTTCTGCTCAGTGTTACATTTTCACCTTTTTTACTCCTTATACAGAGAGATTTGTAAATGTGTCATTATGGGTCATTTAAATGTGTCTTTGTCTCTCTCTACTACAGTGGACGGAGATAAGCTGATGTTGAAGGGAGCGAAGCTGAACTGCAGCGAGATGCTGAGTGCGTTTCAGTCGATGTGCGCAGCCAAAGAACTACAGGCAAAACTCGCAGCAGCAAAGAAATAATAATGATATGTGTTGAATTTATCTGTGATCTTTGTATATTCCTGGATGTTAAATATTAAAGTATTTCATATAAATGTGTTTGTTCTGTTGTGGTTTGACCTTTGATTTACTGACACTACACTGCATTGATGTAATGTGATGGACAGGCATGATACTGAGTCACTCCTCTTCCTCTTATGAATCCAAGTTCCTCCACCATCTAAGCATCAAATTCTTGATCTTCTATGCGGACATAATCAACTTCACTGCTATGAAATTTAAAAAAGTACTGCACCTTCTTCTCAAGAGAACATATTCGACATTATCCCCATCAGCTATGCATATTTTTGATATTAAAGACATCATTTGAAATGCTTTAACTGCTAAAAAATGTGCTGTGATCAGTGCAGGGTCATGGTGTATCATTGCGTATGTGCCATTTTCCTGATAAAAGAGATCATTCCAGCGTTTCAGAGTACATTATGCAAGCTCCAACCTTTGACACAGCAGGCTTAAATGTAATTTGGCACAGATTTAAACGCAGCCCCAGTGAAAAGAAAAAAAACCCAGGCACAGATAACTGAAAACCTGCCCCCTCTGCTTGTCCCCCTCTGTACCATTCGCATATGTAACATACTAGTTATTCTTTGTGGATGAATTATGACATTCACAGTTTTCACATAAAAAGTATTTCTATCAGTTCCTTTGAGAGCTAAAAACATGGTCCTGATGGTGGTTTGATGTCTTCTATGACACTGCCATCTAAAATGTGTGTGCCCCTTAATTAGTTGTCTTCCATAAAATGTTTTCTAAGTTGTAACTAATGGCTTCAATAGTAAATAATGTATTAATGCATTACAGATCAGTCATGGGTTAAGAGGTTATGAATGAATCCCACTTGCCTGTATTTGTTACATTTAAATGCAAATAAACACTAATGGGGTAAAGCAATTAAATCCACAATATTTATTTTTAATTTATTATGGAATGAAGGGTTTTAACCATCAAGTCTGCAGCTGCAAATAATAATCCGTTTTAATGTACAGATGTTGGTGTAGATTGTCAGCAGCTCGCATTTAGCAAACTCATGGAAATTAATTTCAAGTTCAATAAGTTACATTTCATTTATAAAACATGTGTAAATTATTAAGGCTGAGGGGACATGTTCTTGTATCCTTCATTGAAATGGCAATATATTTCGATTTTTGTGGTGACAGGTGCCCATTTAGCTCAGAATTTAAAGTAACTAAAAAAACATGAATACGTTTCAGCTTTTGAATTTTGCACACCCTTTTATGAGAAAGCCCATGAAGCTTCACATGCTAGTAACAAGAAGGGCTGGAAACGCTCTATTAAGTGACGTAGCAGGATGTGATTGGCTCATTCTGTGTCATTTGATGTCGGTCTGGCCCTTTAAAAAGGAGTCTATTCCCACACTGGAAGAGAGTTGAACCCAGAGTCACTTCACTGGTTATTGTCGAGGATATCAGAAGCTGCAAAAATGGTTGAGAAATTTGTTGGGACGTGGAAGATGATTTCCAGCGATAACTTTGATGACTACATGAAAGCAATCGGTAGGAGAATATATTTAAGATTAATGATGGAAAACCACTTTCAGGGTGTCAGATGTTAAACTATAAACTGTAACTTATGCAAAACATGTCAGATATATTTTATATAGTTGTATTTTTTTTTAAACCATTAAGCCTGCAGTGTGTTATCTTTAATGCATTTTTCTGATCTTGCCCTCCCGCTGTGCAGGTGTGGGATTTGCGACCCGGCAGGTGGGGAATCGCACCAAACCCAACTTGGTGGTGAGCGTGGACGATCAAGGGTTTGTATGCTTGAAGTCTCAGAGCACTTTCAAAACCACTGAGATCAAGTTCAAGCTAAACGAGCCATTCGAAGAGACGACCGCAGACGATAGGAAGACCAGGGTTAGTTAATGTGGTTTGAAAAATAATCACAGCCCGAGTCTGTGCTGGAGGTAACGGCTTGTCTCTGTTTGTGTCCTGCAGACCGTGGTGACTCTGGAGAACGGGAAACTTGTGCAGAAACAGTGCTGGGATGGCAAAGAGACAAATATCGAGAGGGAGATCGAAGATGGGAAATTGGTAGCGGTAAGGGTTATTTTTTTCTTCTCATTAGCCTACTTCATGTGGAAAATCAAACTTGGTAATCTGGTAGAAATCTAGCAACAAAATGCCGTTATAAATCCAAGCAATAGTCTGTAAATGTAGCTCATCGATCAGGATCACAAGTATTTAACAGTTTTTATAATGTCATGTATTTATTTAATCAAGATTGTATGTTTTGATTTTTGTTTATAAAGTGTTAATGTGGTGCTATACGAATATATTGTTCATATCCACTTGAGAATAAGAGAAAACATGTATTTGAGAGTAATTACAATGTTATTGTACTACAGGAAATCCTGTGACAGAGAGGGGGGCAATTTAATTGAATACTATAAAGTGTATATTATATTTATATAGAAAGAGTGCAGTTAGGCTTTATTACAGGGGAATAAGACAATATTATAAAGGATAAAGCTTCATTTAAATAACCACAGACACACTTTGGGAATATACTGTTTAACTGTGTACAGACACATGTTATAGAGTTGGATAGCTGTAGCATACATTTTTCTTCTAACTCAAAACATATTCCTCTTCACCTTCTTTACAACTGCACCTCTTTTTGATCGTCGGACCACACCTGATCTCCCTTTTTTCTCCCACAGAAATGCATTATGGGTGATGTGATCGCAGTGAGGACATACGTGATGGAGGCATGATTGGCTCCCTTCAGCCCACTCGTTGGATGCATTGCTGGATGACAGGCTCAGTTCAATGAGCGTTATACCAAACTAAAGTAAAGGCGTGTTCTTCTCTTACTACTCTTTATCTTCACTGTTTTTACCAAAATAAATCCCTGTGCCTCTGTTCTCCAACATGACGCATTTGGTTTCATTTGGAATTGTTGTGGTGATTTGAATAAAAATCAATGAAAATTTCTCAAAATTGCGTCTCAGTGAGTTCATTGTTAGTTCCTGATGGTTGTGTATAAGTCAGGTTCTCTGCTGTTTATAGAACAGCCTATCGTCCAAATTCAATTATGAGATTCTTGAAAGCATTCCAATCATCAGGGCATGCTGAGGAATGTTTCACAAAAAAGTGCTCTAATGGGAGCCTAATCTGACAAGCTGATTTCCTGACTTTAATGGTTTATTCCCATGCCCGGTGAATATTACTGTGATTATTCCACATCACTTTTCCCACTTTGGCTTGTACAATCCTTTCGTGCTTCCTTTTTTTGGTCAGTTTCAAAAAGATCCAAAACATATCTCATATTTAAAGGTCAATAAGTCAGCCATCCTCATGATATATGATGCATGTTGGCAGGGGCTCCCTTGAGGAATGTGAACCCTTTTTAGAAGTATCGAGAGCATCATGCAGAGAGGTCAGTGAGGAAATGTATCCTCTCTTCCTTTTTAGGAGGTCGAACATTTCCCATTGCTCATATGCTGGCAGCTGTGCGCACATGGAGAAACTAAAACACATTATGGGTCGTCCCTACAGACGTCTCCACCCTTTGGCCACGGCTCAAGTCTCTGTGTTTTACGGGGGGGGGGGGTTGTTCCAGAACCGATGGACACTTTCCCATGACAGGAAAAGGGAGACGATAGCCCTGATTGGATCTAATGGCAAAAACAGCTGAAACAGGTGCTATTGTGAGCCAACGCTCTTGTTCCCTTCAGCGTGGACAATGGCACCGGGAGTAGGGGACGCACAGTGTTTGAACCTTTGGAGCGGTTCCAAGTCAATGAACATACCCCGCCACGGGGATAACTACCAGAGGTCAACAGAGCAAAGTTGTATTTGTGTGTCATTGGCCATGTTTTACTGTCTCAAAGACATTACACTTCAACATCTTAAGTGCCAGTTGTTAACTCGTTTCTCAACCTTTTAGCCTCTATTGCAATTTCCTTTAACACTTAACGCAGCTCCCTAGTGGCCCCAAAAGCCCCAGATTCTATTTATTTATTTTTTTAACCTTTTCTTGAACATTAAACTTGGTGATCTGGTAGTAAAAAAGCCTTATATTAATGTATGCAATAGACTGTAAAGCACCTCATAAATCATGTGCGTCCTCGTTTTTTTAAAATGTTATTTATTTATTTAACGTTTTACAGTTGATTTGTTGAAGTTTTAATCGGCTGCTATATGGGAATATAATGTTCAAGTGCAATTTCCTTTAACGCTTAACTCAGTTCCCTAGTTGCCCAAAAAGCCCCAGGTTCACTGTGTTCATTGGCTTTTATGTAATTTAATCTCTATTTAATTTGGGAACTTTGTAGTACAACAAGTACAATATCTTATCCCTTGCTGCTGTTTCATTTAGGAAATATGACAGAATCCTTTAATAAGATATTGTGCGTATATCCCTATACAAGATATTGTTTTGTAAAATAACTACTTACATACAGAACATCTGGGCTCAGGTACCGTTCTAGTAAAGGACTTTTGGTTGGTTTGTAGGTCTTTCAAACATGATGAGGCTGCCATCTACCATGTAATGCAGTGTGTGCACATAACTTGGGAAATACATGAACATCCCACAAACTCTCAAAACATCGTAAAATGGGAATCTCTTTTGTCTTAGTGCGACATGAGGATATGGAACCATGGTGAAGGTCATTAAAAGAAAAATACAAGAAAATGCTTGTGTGTTTGCTGGACCATGAAACATCTTGCAGAGCCTTGAATGAGACTCTAAGAGTAGATGCAAGTTTCCTTCTGCCGGGTGAAACGGTTGGGGGTTTAGTTCGGTGTAAAAAAAATGTTTCTCTCATGAAACCATTTTACAACATGGCATGTCGATTATCTTTAGGGACCGGGGTCAGGATTCCAGGGAAGTGACAGTGACGTTGAGTTTTGCAAATGTATTTTGGTTGCGCTTTGAGTACCACAAGCATTGTGCCATCTGGTCCCATTATATTTTCTATATGTTTTAGATTTTGTGACAACTAGAATTTGATACATACACAATTATTTGAAAAAAACATTGATAGTTAGCCCTGATACTTGTTGACTTGCTTCCATACATACTGTGAACACTCTGAAATCCATGAGTTAATTATGTTTACATTCATTTGAAGAGCTTCTTCTTTTATTGTGCTTTATAAACGACTCTGAAAACCTGATCATGTTCCCACAGCAAAAGGGAAAAGATCACATCTGCTACGGATTGACTTACAGGTGCAGTGCTTGTGATCCGCAGGCGTCTCCGTCACTTTGTTTAGATAACTGCGGGGAATCCGACAGATCTCCTCCTCCTTGTTTTATCTCCTCCATCTTGATTTGATGCTCCATGTTGTTTCTTAATTGATGGAGCTTTAAACTTCTAGACAACTGGTGGAAATATCAGATTCCAGATCCAAATATGACATTCTGCAAGTATAGTTTTCCCACAAGATGCATCTTCAATATTTCAATTAATAGGGGTCAGTATAAAAAGCATCGACCTATAGATATTTACAGTCAGAGGTTTGCTCCAAACATGTGAAATAATACTCGCCTAGCTTAAGGCCAAACAGGATAGAAGGCGAGGTATTCCTCTGGAGAGGAAAGGTCTCGATCTTCCTCCGCTGTCCTTAGTTGGCGGAGGTGAACTTGACATCAGCAGAGTGGTTGCAGAGAGCAAATTAGGAAGGAGCGTGATAGTGAGAAGCCTGCTGAGAGTTAGCTGGAAGAGAAAGACAGCTGAAAGCCAATATAAACTTCCCAAACATTTATTGTAAAGTTATATACAACAGAACAGGTATATGAATACATTTGTGTATATGTTCACGCTGAAAGTAACTCACACTTCTCATGCAATGTCAACTACTGCATTCCCCCTAGAAAGTACTTTTTGTCTGCATACGTTTGAGTGTGTGTGTCTGTATGTTCTCATGCCTGATAGACAAAGGTATCTTGTTGACACTGGGGTTTTTTTGTGTCAGGAAAGATTGTCTCGGACTTTAAAATAATTAACTCACATCCTTTGCAAAACATCTGGAAAGCTCCACTTGAGCTGCAGCGTTGACACCCTTCCTCTGCTTGTCTTCTGCTTGTCCTTAACTTAAACTCTGTCAAAGGGTTAGGGTTAGGGTCAACACCTTTCATGTATAAGTGGATCAACAGGGATGAAAACACATGATGTATGAGCATTTTGTCAACACCACAAATTAATATAACTTTCCTTTAGAAGTGCATTCTAGTGATACAATCTAAGGAAAATGTATTTGTTATTTCAGTCAAGATCTTGATTGATTTTGTTTATTTCTTTTATTTGGCATGGCTTCAGGAATAACTGCTTCCATTGTTTGACATTTGCTAAATGCGTTCATTCTCTTTCGCTCTTTCTTTAAATCAGGGATGAAGGGTTGCGGCACGATGAGTAGGAATTTATGTGTAGACTACTGTGTCTCGGGCGGTATGTACAGTATTTTCAGTCACAATAATTTCTATAAAGGACTGAACCAAATGTGGGATTGTTTAACAAACATAATTTAAAGAAAAAACAGGAGTCAGGGACCTGTTTCTATCTGAGGAAATTAGGGGATTAAGACAGAGTTTTAAAATTAGAGAGATAATTTCCTTACATGATGGGACACATAGGTTATTCAATGATGCAGTTAGCAAGATAGGGAGTTTTTCAATACATCGGGAAAAAGTCAAAATCAAGACAGGTGGCTAGCTAGAATTTATACGTTTCCAATATTTCTTTCTACCTTAACCCTTTGGAGTCCTGGGCTAATTTGGCCGTTTTCGCATACTTTTGATTTGTCTTACTAAACCCCATCAAGAAATGTTTGGCATGTCAATGTTTGGTATCTTTTTTTTAAGGACAACCTCACCTATATAACCTGAAAGTTATTTCTTTCATTTTGAGATACTATATGAACATTTTGGACCCAAAATCACAAAAAAACTAGGCTTTTTTTCCTCATTTCTCAAGTTCTGTCAACAGTTACACAGTAGGCACAACAAAACATTTAAAAGCTTAAATAATGTACATGGGATTTCCTTCTGATAAGGCAAAAGTGTTATTATAAATATAATACAAATATATATATACACATTATGTACAAAAATCAGTTTTTTCTGTCTTTATCTGTGCCACGCTTCAAAGCAGTTTCTGTCAACTACGACACAGAGGGCAACATCAGAGGCTCCTCCTCCTCCTCCATGTCAAAAAACAAGCTTATAGCTTGACTCACGTTCAGAGTTCTCTTCATCATAGTTGAATCTTCAAAACTCTAAATCTATCTAACTATATCTAAATTCTCAATGTTTGTCACTTTACTTCAATCGCAGTCTCCCGCCGCCTGTCTTCGTATATCTTCGTCTCTCTCCATTTCCCGCCGTCCCTCTTCGTCTCTTTTCGTCTCGCTTCGTATCACTCCGTTTACCTGATTACCTCACCCCCTCCCTGGTAAATACATCCTGTTGAGCAGAATCTACAGTTTCCAGTATTTTCCGTTTCGTAAAATGATCAAATACGGCGAAGATATTAAAATGTGTGCTTCCATTATTCATACTTTTGAAATATATTTGTATTAACTTTATATCATCGTATCTACGTGTTTATTGGGTCTTTTTGCATGAAACAAAGACTGGCATATAGTTTCAAGCCAGTACTTTCGACATAAATACACATAGGCCTACATCCTGTTGAGCAGGATCTACAGTTTCCAGTATTTTCCGTTTCGTAAAATGATCAAATACGGCGAAGATATTCAAATATGTGCTTCCATTTTTCATACTTTTGAAATGTATTAACTTTATATCATCGTATCTCCGTGTTTACTGGGTCTGTTTGCATGAAACAAATACTGGGATATAGTTTCAAGCCAGTACTTTCGACAGAAACACACTGCAATGTTGTCCGGACTGTTGTTTTTATGCGGCACTGGCTTGAACAGGTCATTTGATCTGATCACGCCGGCGTGGCGGTCGACTCCAAAGGGTTAAGA